CCCCCCCGGGTAAGCGTGGTACCCGCGTACGAGCCCCCCAAAATTTTTCTCGCGTAAATTCATAACTCGGGGTTCTGAGATGCCAGAAAGCTGAAATTTTAGGGGAATGTTCTCCGCCCAAACAGGTGCTAATGAGCTCAAATCCAGCCCCCGGGTAAGCGTGGTACCCGCGTACGAGCCCCCCAAAACTCCCGCGTAAATTCATAACTCGGGGTTCTGAGAAACTAGAGAGCTGAAATCTTAGGGGGGTGTTCCCTGTCTAAGTGGGTATCAACGAGTTCAAACTCGAGAACGTGAGAAGCTAGAAGCGTTCCCTGTCTAAGTGGGTATCAGCGAGTTCAAACTCGAGAACGTGAGAAGCTAGAAGACTGGAATTTCGAGGGGATGTTTTCTGACGTTCTTGGCGCCCAGTCTGAAATTCCTTTGAGCTAGAAGCATCTGCCGAAAAAACCGAGGCCGGTAGCGACAAAAACTGCGGGGAACTCTACAAAAAACGCATCTTCGCACGGGCAGCCCGTGCGTTGGCCAGTTATTATTATTGTCGATGTTGTTGGTTTCGTCACTGGTGCTGCGCTGCATGTGCTGCACCATTAACCACATCTGCTGGTTTTACATGGCCGCATGAGCGCCATCTGAGGGCGGGCAGTTCTCTGGACTCACGGTGTAGGGAGGTAGTACGTGAAGTGACAGCTACCGCGACTTGTCTCTTTAGCATTTCACGATGCACATTTGCCGCTGTGCAACAAACCTCGGCACTGAGGTAGCACAGCATGAGTGCTAGTCTAAGCTTCAACATTTAAGGTCGCGATAAGTGTCTTCCCTCGTCATCCTGAGCTGTGGCATCGACTTATTGGCACCTGTACTAGCTACTCGGTTGCAAGTGCCTGCCCCTTTGATCGTCCCCGGTGTTAAGAGCATTCTCTGTTTTTTGTTATGCAAGTATTTGTTCTGGTTGGCATGACGCAGTAGCAAGTAGCGCTGCTCCCAGAAAGGAACAGAGTGCGAATTAAATATCAAGGGTTCCAATCTCCAGAAGTCGCCCACTCGTTTCGATGGTAAATTGGTAGTGGGACACACCAGAGAGTGAAATTTGTCTTTAGTTTGCTCCAAACTGGCCAGCACGTGACTGCTGTTGACATCCTCGATCACTCAAGCCAGTTTGATTGCAACCCTCCAGTTTTTACCAGTTAAGCATCCGAATTTTACCTGATTGTTGCACTGCTTTGGACCGTCCACTTGTTTTTAAGATTACGGGTTGGCCTTCTAATGGCAGCAAATTATTATTCCGAGTGAAACTTCCTTGGGAGTGTGGGGGTTCTAATTTTTGTTACACACTCGTCCAGACTTCAGATGTCAGTCCTTTTTATGCGTTTTGTGCTGTGTAACAGCAGCACAAAACGCATATTGTCACGGGGTTGTCTGTGTGTGTGTGTGTGTGTGTCCCATATTTTGTCCCGCACTTTCAACTCGGGAACCACAAAAGCTAAGCGACTGAAACTTTAGTATAATGTTCCCCGCCAACGGGTGACGCAGCAAATTTAAATTCAGCCTTCCCGTACCCGCGGATAACACGCACGGCCCCGTAAAAGTTATTCGGGTAAAATCAGTATCTCGGGAACCACGAGAGGTAGAAGGCTGAAATTTCGGCATGTCCCCCGCCCACGTACTACCCAGAAAATTTAAATTCAGCTTTCCCTGCCCGCGGGTGACAAGTAGGGCCCCGTGAAAATTTTTGACGGGTAATTTATTATCTCGGGAACCACGGGGTCTAGGAAGCTGAAATTTCAGAATAATGACCCCCTACCCACGTTCAATCTTGCCCATTCAAAATTCAGCGTTCCCACGCTCTTGAGTATCACCTACGGGCTAGTGAAAGTTTTTACGGGTAAATTATTATCTCGGGAACCACGGAGTCTAGAAAGCTGAAATTTTAGGGTAATGACCCCCTGCCCACACTCAACCTTGGCTATTCAAATTGAGCGTTCCCGCTTTCGCGGGTATCACCTACGGGCTAGTGAAACTTTTGGCGGGTAAATTATTTTCTCAGGAACTTTGGAGTCTCCGAAGCTGAAATTTTAGGGTGATGACCCCCTGCCCACGCTCAACACCGCCTATTCAAATTCAGCGTTCTCGCGCTCTTGAGTATCACCTACGGTCTCGTGAAATTTCTGGCGGGTAAACTATTAACTCGGGAATCACGGAAGGATATTCGCCCTTCAGGGTTTCGAATTCAGCTTTCATGCTCAGCTGCGTGAAATTTCTAACTGCTTTTCAATGTTTGAGCTATTTTTGTTTAGACTAAAGTACAAAGCAGTGAAAGTCATTAATGGGTGATCGTTCGATGGGCTGAATTGCACAAAACGCATGATCGCACCGGCTAGTCTGGTGCGCGTTGCTATTAGCTTGTTCTGTTGCATTTTCGTTCTGTGTTCTTGAACTGTGATGTACAGCTGTTCCAGGTGTTGCAGGTAAGTTGTTGCTGGAGACGCTTGATCCATGGTGTTTCAGGGATGGTGCTGGGACTTCACGGTCAGCTCACGGTACTTGGTGTTTTGGTGCATCTTGTATTGCTTTATTCCATCTTTGACGTCTATTACACGTCACCGCTGGTCAAAGGATTGCATCCGCATTCGATCACGAAGGGGAGAGGTCTCGCCGATCGTCTGGTCATTTTCTCCGCGGGTAAGTCCCGTGCGTGTGTTTGGTGACTAGAACTGGACAAGCTGCAGCGTGCCGAGTTCTGATTCTTAGCGAATTCGGCTCCGCTTATGCATCGCGCTTGCTAATTTCAGTAATTTGTTAAAGCCGCTATGAAACTTCCATTCCGTGTTCACTGTTTGAGAAGCGGGCACATGCCCAGAAGTAGCCACGTGCAACACGTGCCAGCAGGAAGCATCCCCTGACAGGATTGTCTGAGTGACTCCTCTTTCGATGATTGATGAGAAGTATTAATAATAATTATGACCTTTTCCATAACCATAAAGTACTTGAATTTAAATTAATGGTAATAATAACAGTAGTTGTAGTAATAACAATAATAGTAATAATGATAGCGGTAATAACAGTGATATTAATAATAGCAACAATAATAGTAGTAATAATAATAGTATTGGTAATAGTAGTAATATAAAAATAATAGTAATAATAACAGTAACAGCAATAGTAATAATAGTAATAATAATGGTAGTAATGATGACAGTAATAGTAGTCGTAATAATAATGGCAGTAATGATGGTAATAATAATAGGTAGTGACAACAACAATAATAATAATATACACATGCAAGAAATAAAAAATATATTAAAAAATAATCAGACAAACAGGAATAGAGGCTTTGACTCTCAATTTTTATGCGTTTTTTGCAGCTATGCAATGCAGAAAACTCATATTGACGAGAGGTTGTCTGTGTGTGTGTTTGTGTGTGTGTCTGTGTGTACGCTGCGCGTCTGAAAAAAATGATTTCATCTCGAGACCCACAAAAGCTACGGGGCTGAAACTGGGGGAGCTTAATCTACATGCACGTACGGGCCCCAATGGTGCCCTTACCCGCGCGGTACCCTCGTACGCGCCCGCCAAAGTTTTTTACGGGTAAGCTGCTAGCTCGGAAACTGGAAATGCTGGGAGGCTGAAATATTAAGGGCACGTTTCCCGTCTGGGAGGCTGAAATATTAAGGGCAGTTAGGTATTAATAAGCTCAAATCCAGCCCCCGGGTAAGCATGGTACCCGCGTACGGGCCCGTCAAAATTTTTTCGGGTAAGTTGATAATTCGGGGTTCTGAGATGCTAGAAAGCTGAAATCTTAAGAGTTTGTTCCCCGTCCAAGTAGATGTTAATGTGCTCAAACCCTACCCCCGGGTAAGCTTGGTACCCACGTACGGGTCCGTGAAATTTTTTTTCTAGTAAGTTGCTAAATCAGAAGCCAGGAAAGCTTGAAAGCTGAAATTTTAAGAGGGTGTTTCCTGACTGACGGCCAGTTTTAATTTGTTTAGCTGGAAGCATTTTTCGGGAAAACCGGTGCCGGTAGCAACAAAAACTGCGGGGGACTATGCAAAAAACGCATCTTCGCAC